CTCCTCCCCCTCTCCCATGTATAACAAACTTTTAAGATAAAGAAAAGCACACAGCATAATACAAATCTCATCCTCCATGGTCCCAAACCAGTATTATAAAATTTTTATAATTCCTGTCTTCTTCCTCTTTGTTTCAACAAAAAGAAATACGACAATTAATAGATATTACACTTTATTTCTATTGTTATCTGGGAAGATTGTTTATAGAAAGAGGAGAGAAAAAACAAGGGAATATACATATATTTTTTTTGGGGGGGAGAATATTTTTAATAATTAAAAAATGTGGGTTTGAAACAAAAAATGCTAAGTACTTTTATTCTTTTTAGTTAGGTGGGGATACAAGAGGTAAAGTAAAAAAATGTCAAATAAAGCTGGGAGGGTAGACGTTGGAAATGAAAAGATAAAAATTCATATATTCTCTTAACGAGACAATGGACAGAGTTAATACAATCAGGAAGAATATACATACTTTAACAAAGGAGAGAAAGTTACTGAAAGATTTCTATATGACATTACCTTGTACTGCATCCTTGTATGGCAGGGAATTTCTCCGGCCATGGGGAGGGGTAGATGAACTCTGTGTCTCTATCGTACCAGCACATTAAGCATTCACTATGTTGGTTTCTTTTCCTCTCTTCTTTTTTGAGAGAGTGATTACATGATGCCATAGCTTCCAACAATCGCTTCTGAATAATAAAATTGGAGAGAGGAAGCAAACATAAAGAATCTATAATCTCAACATGCATTATGTCTTTTCTCTCAGCATATAGAATTAATATTGTGCTCTTTTTTTTTTAACCATTGTGTTCTTGAAAAACAAATTTTAACTGGTGAAACCCTTTACTCACTTTGAAGGGCTGCAATGTATTGCTTCAACTATAAATTCCTCTGAAGCTATTATTCAAATAATGAACAGGAATGTGTGGATAAGAGTAGCAGCAGATAATGTAAATTTTTCATAAATATCATAATTCATACAGAATTAATGCCATACTTTATAAATTCTACAATGCTATAGAAATGCTTACCTTTTCAAATTAACTCACACCTTTAATATTATTTCAATCAGAATCTCCATGGTTTAAAAAAAACTCAAAGGACAAATAATAATGGTGAACACAGGAAAAATGAATGGACGAGGGGAGCAAAATATAATTGGGGGTTTGTCTTTACCAGATATTATCACTTCTAATAAATCTACTACAGTTAAAACACTTTAATATTGAGCTAGAAGGCTCACAGAGAATCAAGCAACAGATTCAAATTTATGCCAAAAACTATGTTTCAGATAGCCTCATAATCTAATGTTGAAAGCATTTGAAATTCAAAATACAATTCAATCCAATCACAATGAACTCAGGTGATAATTGGATGAATATAGTACTGTGACCGTTTAAATAAGCTAGATTTATACACATGCAGGCTATACTGTCTAGCATTAGAACTGTTCTTTCGTCTGTTGAGTAACTAGTGTCCTTTCACATATAGCAAGCCTCTCTATTTGAAAATTAATAAGATGTGAAGTCATTTTATTCTCTACTCTTTATATACATTTAAAGAGCCAGCATCTATGTACTTAATTAAGCTATAATTCATATCCAGTGAAATTCACAGACCTAAAGTAATGAATTTTGTGTATATCCCCCAGTAGAACAGCTTTGTTTTTGGCTGCTACAGTAAACTCACTGTCACGGAGTCGGTTAGGACTCATCGTGACCCTAGATGACAGGGGACAGCTGCCTTTGTGGGTTTCCGCCCTGGCAGGGGTTGCTAGAAGTTGGAATCCACTCGATGGCAGTTTGCTTTGTAGTTTTTTTTTTAGCACATGGAAATACAATTGTTAATTGTATATTGATTTTATATCCCTTGAACTTGCTAAATCTACTTCATAGTTTTAGTAGCTGTTTTGATGATTCCCTAGAATTTTTTACACAGTAATAATATCTTCTACAAATAAAGGTAATTTTACTTCTTCCTTTCTAATCAGTTGTCTTTTATTTATTTTTTATTTAATGCACCTGGCTGAATGCAGTTAAGGACCCCAGAACAGTACATATAAATGGCTAAAATGTAAATCCTGGACTTATTTTTTTAAAAAGAAAATGTTTTCTTCCTGTAAGTGCTGTTTTGTTATTATTAGCCGCTGCTGAGTCAGCACTAACTCATCGCTAACAGAACATAACACTTATGTACAACAGAACGGAACACTGCCTGGTCCTGGGTTATCTTACAATTTTTGCCATGTTTGAGCCCACTGTTGCAGCCACTTGTTAGCAATAATTTTTTGATACCCTTTATCAATCAAGTTCACAGGTGAAAGCCTAGCTTTCTATCTCACAAAGGGTTACAATCTCGGAAACCCACAGAGATGGTTCTATCCAATCCTCTAGGCTCACTATGAGTTGAAACTGATTTGATGGATGTGAGTTAGGTGATTTTCTTTTTATCAAGTTGAGAAAGTTTCCATCTATACCAAGTTTGTTGACTTTCTATAGAATATAGTAAATTGCATGGATTTAACTATACATTTATAAAACTAGTATTATTTTTCTTATACATTGCTGCATTCAACTTGGTGTTATTTTGTTACAATTTAAAAAAACTATTTTTAACAGGGATATTTGGCAGTAATTTCCTTTTGGAAATCTGGATTAATGTAGACTTTTTTCCTGAAAGTTTGTATTACAATTTCTTAAATATTTGATATTATATTTCTTATTCTTAAATATTATTTCATTTTACTTAATCTGCTCTCTCTGAGTCTCAAGGTAAAAGCTTAGATGATTTGTTCTTTTTGCTCAGGATAAGCATGTGTTTTTGCTATCATCCAGACTGAAATATTGTTTAAGCTGTCTTTATATGTCTTCTTTCATTTACTGGATAATCATAAGTGTGTTATTGCATTTCAAACTATTTGGGGAGTATCCAGATATTTGTTACTGATTTCTATGTTATTCCATGTACTTGGAGAATACTCAACCCTTTTAAATTAGTGAAACATATTTGATGGAGCATTATGTAACCTTGGTGAATGTTCCTTATTTGATTAGAAAGAATGAGTATTTTGCAATAGAGTGCTGTGTTTATAAATGATGAATGAAATTGAGTAGGTTTATATTGTTATTAAAGTCTCCTCTATCCTTACTGATTTTCTGTCGTTTCTATTCCTACTTCAGAAAGTACTGACATTTTAAACTATAACTTGAATTTTTCCTATTCTGATAATTTTTGCTTCATTTATTTTGAAGCTGTTATTAGGTATATATACATTTATGATTGTTGTGGTTTGATGAACCTGGATTTTTCATTATTATGAACTATTCCTCTTAAACTCTGGCATATTCCTTGTCCTAAAATCTATTTTGTCTAATACTAGGAAAGTCACTTTGCTTTTTTCTTTTAATTAATGTATCTAGATGTTTTTAAAATAAAGAAAGAAGCTGTTAAATCTCATGAGCAAAACATAAGAGATTTAAACACACTGCTCATTGAGTTATTCTAAATAATTTGATTAAAAATGTGTACATATAATTACTTCACTTACGAACCTCATCAATAAAAGGTATTAAAACCACAGCCTCCCATTCCTGTTGTTTCCCATTTAGGTCAGTTTTAAAATCAGGTGGATAGTATTCTATAATTGGCGAGTCTTCACTGGTCATCAAATGCTGTGAGGATATAAAATAACATGATAAAGTTGTAAGAACTAACATAAATACAGCTTTTTGTTATTGTACTATTGTATTAATAATATTCCTCATATTGCAGTTTAAAATTTGTAAGGAAATGAAAAATTTCCATCTTAGACATATTCACACATACTCATATTTTGATTAACTATGAAACATCTAATTTCACTGATATTAATCACTTTGTAGCTTGACTGATCTAATTACCATGCACACTCAAGTATAAGCTGACCCAAATATCAGCCAAGGAACCAATTTTACCATATAAACTGGGAAAACGTATGGACTTGAGTATAAATCTAGGGTGGGTAATGCAGTAGCTACTGGTAAATTTCAAAATAAAAATAGGTACCAATAAAATTACATTAAATGAGGCAAAGGTAGGTTAAATGCTTTTGAATATTTATTTCAAAGAGAAATAGTAAACTAGCTCTGTAAGTGGAAAAGAGGGTCAACAAAAACAATATGGCCTCAACAATAACTTTAAAAGTACAAAACCTTAGCTATATCAGCAACCAAGCTAAAACACAAAGGTTAAAATCCTTCAAAACTGGATTTCTCATCATCATCTGTCTGTCCAAACAGAGCTTCAGCCTTAGCTGGTGTGAGGTCATCAGCATGGACATTGTCCTCATCACTGAGTTCACGGTCATCACCATCACTGTGTCGTTCTCACACACAGCGCTGCCTTCACTGCCATCATAGCATTACTGATGCCACATTTCTTGAAGGCGCGTTGCACCAAGTCCTCTGGGATCTCTTCCCATGCATCACGAACCCACTTTGCTATCAATTCTATGTTGGGCTTCTTCAGATTTCCAATTTTTGTCAGACGCACTTGACTAGATGACATCCATTCATTCCACATCTTTCGCACACGGTCTTTGAAAGGTTTATTTAAACACACATCTAGGGTCTGTAATACAGATATAAGCCCACCTGGAATAACGGCCAAAGTAACTTTCAGTGCCTGGTGCATTTAATTCATTGTCTTTAGCCATTTGAAGACCACATAAGCGAATTCCCATTCATGTTACACAGTAACCATTTTGACAATACTCTATAACCCATTTATGCAATTCAGTCTCTAGAGCCCATCGTTAAAGCATGTTGATCTTTTTTTGCCTTTGAAATCTTTTCCAAGTCAGCTTTCATTTTTTGCCATTCCCTCACTTGTTTTTCGTCAGCATAAAATTCCCTACTTGCAGTACTGTTATCGCTTTCTTCTGCCTTTTACACAACCTTGAGTCTGAAACCAGCTTCCTATGACCTGCGCTTTTGCTTTGGTCCAGAATTAGAAGTACTGGGATCCATTTCTAACAAGAGAAACAAAAAAAACCTTGGAAAGACACCATACTATAGCGATTGAATTCTCAAAATATACTGTAAGCCCTACTCCAAAAATAAGCCCTAGTTATAGTTCTTAAAAGAGGTCAATTTACAGTAAGAACAGTCGTGTCCAGGCAACTACCGGTATACATATAAACTAGTAAAATCAATTGGCAATAGAATACAGCAAGACAGATAGACTTCACCATGGAAAACAGATACCCCCCCAAAAGAATCCCACTCAAAAGACACCACGAGACCTAAAACATGCTGGATCCCCAAGGGAGCGGACAGCCATTCAGGGTTTGGAGAGTCTGGTGTGACACTATTGCAGAATGTGATGACATGACTATGTTTGCCTGTGTTAGGGCTCATACTATACACGCTGTGTTACTGCATGCACTGCATTATTGCATATGCTGCCTTACTGCATGTACACAACGCAGCTTGTATTGTTTGAGGCCTAACACAGGCTGGTGATATTCCAGAATGTAATGATGTGACTGTTTGCAAAGAGCAGCATGTGTTAGGGCTCATAATATACACACTGTGTTGTGTAAGCACTGTGTTACTGCATGCGCTGAGTTTCTGCATACGCAGTGTTACCACATATGGATGGGAAGTGTTAATGCAACACATGCAGTTAACACAGTACATACACAATGCAGCGTGTATATTATGAGCCCTAACTCAGGCTGCTCTATGAAAGCATAGTCAACACTGGGTCCAGATAGGGGTTAATAAGAAAATTAAAAATAAAATATAGCAGACTAAGTACTGTATATAAATGTACTCTATATCCAAGACCAGAGATATACTGGTACTTGTATCAGCAATGCTTTGGTGGAGCAAGGGGGAGTGACCCAGCACAGGTAAGACTGTAAAGGCTACATCATTGATCACAGCCCTGGAGAAGAGTGGTACATCTGACATTCATCTGACAAGGATGCAGTGTGCCCCAGGGACCAGCACTCAGAAGCAGGCAGGTTCTTGCCCAGCACGGCACGGGCAACACAGAAGCACTCGGCTTGCAGGAGAAAACAACAGCAGTGACATCAACAGTCATCGAACCACACACAGAGGCTGCAGGCAGCCCGCAGATGAGCAGGGGAGAAGGGAGAACACCCGCGCTGCACTGGAGAACAGCTCAATGGGACCTTCACTTGAGTATAAGCCGATGGGGCTTTTTCAGCATAAAAAAAGTGCTGAAAAACTCGGCTTATACACAAGTATGTACAGGATATGTAGCAAAAATATCTTTACCGTGAACATTAGTTTCATGATTTTTTGGTTGCATCCTATTATATAGCCTACCAACTAAACTCTGTTTTATCAGAGACTTCATTTCAGTTCATTTCATTGGTGTACAATACTTTGGATTTTTAATCTTCAATTAATAATCTACCTTTCTGTCCTAACAAATGTATTCATTTATGTACTATAACAACTGTCATCCAAGATTTTTTTTCATCCAAGATATTTTAAAAAGAAAAAAATCTGAGACTCACTAATATCAAAGAGCAACCTTTCAATGCAACACACTCTTATTATAGGTTTCCTAACAGAGGTTGGCAAAGCATAACGATGGCTTTTAGGATGTTACTGTATATGGTTAGTTTTATAAAAAGAAGGAAAATAATGTGAATGAGGGAGGGCATGGAGTGGAGACCCAATGTCCATCTGTAGACAATTGGACATCCCCTCACAGAGGGGTCACAGGGAAGAGATGAGCCAGTCAGGGTCGGTATAGCACCAATGAAACACACAACTTTCCTCAAGCTGTTTGGTACTTCCTTTCCCCCCACTATCATGATCTCAATTCTACCTTACAAGTCAGATTAGACCAGAGCATGCACACTGCTACAGATAAGAGTCAAAACACAGGGAATCCAGGGTAGATAAACCCCTCAGGGCCAACAATGAGAGTAGAGATACCAGGAGGATTAGGGGAGGGTGGGGGGAGAAAGGGGTAATCGATCATAAGGATCAACCTAGAACCCTCTCTCAGGGGGACGAATAATGGAAAAGTGGGTAAGGGGCAACGGAAGACTTTGTAAGATATGGTGAAAATAATCTATAACTTACCATGGGTTTGTGGGGGAGGAAGGGGGGGGGAAGAAATGGGGAGCTGATATCAGGGGCTCAAATGGGAAGGGAATGCTTTGACAATGATGATGGCGGCATATGTGCAAATGTACTTGACACATTGGAGGAATGTATGGATTGTGATAAGAGATGTAAGAGCCACCAATAAATTTTTAAAAAAGGAAGTAAATTAGTGTATTTCCACGGATAATACACTCCTTACTTATCAACTGTCTTGACATTTCACGTTTACTACAGTAGTAAAAAAATCTGCTATCCAACTATTCTGTGTATTAACTATGTATATTTGGCAGTAACAAATGCTAATGTGCAAGGTGAGAGTAATGCTGGCTGTGAACTTAAGGTAATGGTCAACTTTTATGAGCCATGATTATAAGTAGCTTAGAAGTTATGTAATGAAGTGATTTGGCAGTTACATAATGATGTTGTCATCCTCCATTTTGTGATCTGATGTGTCAATCCTCTATTTTCAGGTAATGCCAATTTTCACATAATGACCAGAAGTGGGCGTATTTGAAGTATTTAGTAACCATAATTGATTTGGGCACTACGGGATCAAAAGAGATCTGACTATAAAATACTTGCAAGGTCATACTGGTGCAGAGTGGGTAAATGTTAACTCTTAATAATATCTATCAGCAGGAAAAAAAATAGACAGAAACTTATCTGTAGGTTTAACTTAAAAGTAGGTCAGAGGCCAAGTTCAGGAAGAAGCAGAAGACTGAAATTGTTCCAGAAGCAAATGGTAACATGTCTATTTTCATTTCTAGGTACAGACCATGGAATTAGAATAACAGCCTGATAAACCAAAATAATTGCCTAAACTTCACTGTCACAATCAGTTTAATAAAGCTTGGTGAAGTTTTGGTGACCCTTTCCTTACTCTCTGGAAATATCTTCTTACTATTATGTAAAACATGCTAACCAGAACATGCCTTATTCCAAAATTTGATAAATGAAATGCTTGAAACCCAAATATACCCTAAGGTATACTTGCCTTGAGAAAAAGAAATCATTAGAGGTGGTGGCACAGAAGTTCTGTGTTGGGCTGCTAAGTCCAAGGCCAGCAGTTTGTAACCACCAGCCACTCTGTGGGAGAAAGACAAGACTTTCTCCTGCTCTAAAGAGTTGCAGTCTTGGAAGCCGACAAGTGCAGCTCTTCCCTGTTCTACAGGGTTGCTGTGAGTTTGAATCAACTCAGTGGCAGTGAGTTTTACTCTAGTAGGTGTAAGAATAAAGGAGAGTGGAGGGAGGGTGGGGTGGAAAGGGGGAACCGATTACAAGGATCTACATAAAACCTCCTTCCTGGGGGACAGACAACAGAAAAGTGGGTGAAGGGAAACGTCAGGCAGGGCAAGATAAGACAAAATAATAATTTATAAATTATCAAGGGTTCATGAGGGAGGGGGGAGCGGGGAAGGAAGGGGAAAAATGAGGAAGGCTTAAGTGGAGAGCAAATGTTTTGAGAATGATGATGGCAACATATGTACAAATGTGCTTGACAAAATGGATTTATGTATGGATTGTAATAAGAGCTGTATGAGCCCCGAATAAAATGATTTTAAAAATCTGGGAGGCTGTTGACTAGGTGAGGATACCTTGTGGGGATGGCAGTGGATGAGCTGAAACAAAATGTGTGAGAACTGTTGAGTTTAAAATTGATATCTACTATGTCAACCTTCACCTAATAAAGGAAAACTGAAATTAATCTGTAGACATTTGGACAAAATGGATAGTTTCAGATTTTGCCTGTCTCCTTTTTTTTTTTTCATCCAGTGTAGAGTTGTGCTTTATAATGCTAAAAATGAAGAAGCAAGCCTTTGATTGGTCCATAGAGTTTGTATTTTAAAGACAAAGATATCTTTAAATCAAATAGTAAATGTAGAACTATAAATAAATATATTTAGCTACTTGATAAATTTGGATACTATATTCCTAGGTTTGCACGAGCTTTTAAATTTTTTAAAAAGCTATTGAATTCTGATGCTTACCTGGTAACAGGTAGGAAGTAAATTTTTGCTAGCTGATGGAAGTACAGCAAGAAGCTGTTCAAATGGCTTAAAAGGTTTTCCTAGTTCAAAATGGATTTGAAGTGTATTAATGTTCCGGATATCTGATAGAAATGGTGCGTAGTGATAAGGGTAATACCTGTAAAACAAAACTGAGTTTTAAACAACTAGTAACTTTGTTTCTCTATAGTTTATTTTAACAAAGCTTAACAATTTTAAAGGAAAAACGTTATCACCCATAAATCAATCATTTGAATATAAGAATGAAGCACTGCTGGAAAGTTTAGGTCATTTGATGGCAACAATTATCCTATTTCCATAATTTTAAAAGTATACCTTCACATTTCTAATATTGGAGCTTCGAATGACAGAAATGAGGTGGTAGAAAATGCTCCAGCCAAATCACTTGGATCTATGCCCTCTAAGCACAGAGCTGGGAGGAGGTCAGTGTTCTGACAGGGCTTGGCTAGGTCATCAAGAAAAGAAGATAGCATGGCAAGCCTGAGCCCATCAGACTATTACTTGTTATTTCCTAAAATGTTTATCTTTGAATCAGTAAGTATATTATTAGGCTTGTGGGAAAGATTAAATCTTAATCATATCAATCACTTACACTAACTTTTTCTTTGTTTTTGTTTACTACTTTCCCATCTTTGACTCAAACATACACTTTGTTTGTTTGTTATGTTGGCATATATTTTGGTGGATGGTTTGGAAATGTAGATAGAATTTTCTAGAAGATAATTTTGAGAGAAACAGAGGATCACTACTACTTTCAGTCAAAGCACACAATTTTCCCCTTTCTAGACTAAAATACTGAAAAAACACACAATGATAAAATAATATAATGAATACTGCCACACATAGCAATAGCCTAGATTCAATAATTTATACAACTTTGTTACTTAATTCATCTGAAAAGATAACTTTTAATTTTTAGTTTTACATAACTTTTCCCATGAGTCACCTGCTAAGATGGAAGCATCCTTGTTAGACAAAGGTCTTTAAAAAATATTTTCATGTAAAAAGAGATCTGTGTATTCATCTAAACTTAACTAATATTTATCTTAAAATAATCAAACAAAAACAACCATAAATAGAAATAAAAGGAAATGACTTCCCCAAATGATATCACAGTAGAATGTACCAGTATAAAAAGACAGAATTTCATTTTTGGTTTTACTCTCACCAGCTCCAGGACTGAACTCCATGGTAATAATAGTGCAAGATCCACTGTATTGCTTGAACATAACATGCAGCTTGGTCAGCCAGAAAGTCGCTGAAGAGAGAGGGAGAAAGACATCCTTCTTCAAAAATTAGCTAGTCTCTAATTCAGAGCTTGCCGTCTAGTGGTATTGAGCACATTTTGCCTCATGCATTTTACTTAAACAATAAGTGTCTTAGTTATCTAGTGCTGCAATAGCAGAAATACAAATAGATGGCTTTAATAAACAGAAATTTATTCTCCCACAATTTTGGAAGCTAAAAGTCTAAATTCAGGGTGCCAGCTCTAGGGACAATGTAACAATGGGCTCAAGCGTAGGAACAACTGGGCGGATGGTGCAGGACTGGGCAGTGTTTCGTTGTGTGGTGCATATGGTCACTATGCGTTGGAATGAACTCATTGGCACCCAACAAAAACAGCAACAGCAGTTCGAAACTTCCATTGGCTCCGGGGAAAGAGCCGTTCTACTCCTGTAAAGAGTTAGAGTCTTGGAAACCCACAGGGGCAGTTCTACTCTGTCTTATAGTGTCACTGTGAGTCAGAATCAATGGCAGTGAGACAACAGCTCTAGGAAAAGGTTTTCTGTCAGCCCTGGGAAAAGATCCTTGACTCCTTTCAACAACTGGTTGGCTTGCTACCAATTGGAAATCTCCGTGTGTTATGGCATCAATCTTCTTCTGGGTCTAGGAGTTTCACAGAGTGAGGGAACCTGGGTAGAAGAACAGGCTTCACACCTGGCTGTCTTTCTTGTGGCACTTAAGTCCTTTCTGCTCCCTTGTTTAACTTTGTATTTCAGGAGAGATTGACACAAAATACAACCAATATCTCATAATAACACTATGACTAATACTGCCTCATTAACATCATAGAGGTTAGATTTACAAAACTTTCATCAGATCACAAAATGGAGAATGCGAGTATTTCTTATTAATGAGAATCAAGGTCCAGTTAAATGGACACATGGGGGAACACAATTCAATCCATTACAGTAAGTTAGCTAAAAATTATAGTCAGACATCTCCTTACAGAAGGATCACAGGGAGGAAATGAGCCAGTCAGGGTGAAGTATAGCAATGACGAAACATATAACTTTCGTTTAGTTTTTTTAATGCTTCCCCACTCCCTATCATGATCCCAATTCTACCTTACAAATCCGGCTAGACCACACTGTTATAGTTAAGAACTGGAAACGGGACAGATAAACCCCTCAGGACCAATAACAGTAGTGATACAAGGAGGGCAAGGGGAAGGTTAGGGAGGAGGGAACTGATCATAAGGCTCTAACCACCACCCTGGGGAGTTGACAACAGAAAAGTGGGTGAAAGGAGATATCAGAGAGTGTAAGACATGGCAAAATAATAATAATTTATAAATTATCAAGGGTTCAAGAGGGGCTGGTGGGAAGTAGGGGACAAATTGAAGAGCCAATACCAAGGGCTTAAGTAGAAAGAAAATGTTTGGAGAATGATGGCAACAAATGTACAAATGTGCTTGATACAATGGATGGATGTATGGATTGTGATAAGAGTTGTACGAGCACAACATGCTGTGTATATTTACTCAGTCAGTATGTTATTCCTTTAAAGTTTGAGCATTTAACTAATGAGCTTTTCATAAAATGACCTTACCACTCTCTTAAACGGTAGGGATGCAATGGTTCCGTAGCCTGTAGAATGTCTGAGAAATGCACAAGATGAAAATAGGAGGCTCTAAAATCTAGTTATAGAAGCTACATTACTCTTTGAAAAGTACTTTATTGTTTGAAAAATTTTTTTCTCTAATACCTTATTTCTACAAGACCAAGGAACATTATTTTAAAATTTAAGTAAAATAAATATTCAAGTCACTAAAAAAAAAAAGCCCAAGGTTGAAGCCAAAAATGGTCATAAACCTGTTAATTTCTATCACCTAATTTCAGACATTCCATATCAGTATATTTCTGGGAGATATGCTTTTCAAAATAAAATTTATTAGTTTTGATCATAAAAGATATACTTTCTCATTATTGGAAATTTGTAAAATAAAGTATTTCTATCAAATTAAAAACCGCTAAAGGCATTATGGCTAAAATGCTTGGATGTTCACCGGAAAGTTGCCAGTTCAAACCCACTATCTGTTCCATGGGAGAAAGATGCAGCAGTAGGCTTTCATAAAGAGTTACAGCTTTGGGAGCCCTAGAGGCTGCTCTACGCTGTCTCATAGGGTTGCTCAGATCAATGGCAGTGGGTTTGGGATAGCTAAAACTATGGTAGGTTTCATTTTAGTCCTTTTTCCTATGCGTAGGTTGTTTTTAAAAAGAGTAATAATTGTATATCTTATAATCTTCCTTCTCCTGGTCACATAGTAGGTTACGTATGTGTTGGGCTGCTAACTGCAAGGTAAGGACTGTGAAACTATCAGGCACTCCATGGGTAAAAGATGAGGCTTCTGTAAAGATTTACTGTCTCAGAAACCCTGGGGACAGTTCTATCTATCCCATTTGTGAGTTGGAATTGATTCAGTGGCAGTGAGTTTGAGTTTTTGATCTTTAAAATTGTATTTATCCCCTACTATCATGATGCCAATTCTACCTTACAAATCTAGCTAGACAAGCAGATAAGAGCTGGAAACACAGGGAATCCAGGACAGATAAACCCTTCAGGACCAATAATGAGAGTAGCCATGCCAGGAAGGGAAGGGAAAGGTGAGGGGAGAAAGGGGGAACAGAACACAATGATCTACCTATAACCCTCTCCCAGGGGGATGGACAACAGAAAAGTGGGTGAAGGGAGACATTGGTCAGTGTAAGACATGAAAAAAATATATATATGAATTATCGAGGGAGGATGGGGAAGCGAGGGGTAAAATGAGAAGCTTATGCCAAGTAGAAAGAAAATGTTTTGAAAATGATATGCCAACAAATGTACAAATGTGCTTGACAAAATGGAGGGATGTATGGATTGTGATAAGAGTTGTATGCACTAGGACAGACAGCGGAGAAGTGGGTAAGGGAGACGTTGGGTGGTGTAAGATATGATAAAATAGTAATAATTTATAAATTATCAAGGGGGAGGGGGGACGGGGAGGGAAGGGGAAAAATGAGGAGCTGACACCAAGGGCTCAAGTAGAAAGCAGGTGTTGTGAGAATGATGAAGTCAACATATGTACTAATGTGCTGGACACAAATGATGTATGTACGGATTGTGAAGAGTTGTATGAGCCCCTAATAAAATGATTATATAAAATAACAACAACGAGTACAAGAAAGAAGAAACTGTTCTAAAATTAGTTTGGGTGGTGATTGTACTTAATTGTATTTAATTCTTAATATGATTGAACTATTGAATTGTATGATATGCAAATTATATACCTATATAATTTATAGTCATATTTCTGCCCATATAATTAATAATTAACAATTAATAAAACTGTTAATTAAAAACAAACCAAAAAAAGAGTTGTATGTGCTCCCAATAAAATGGTTTTAAAAAACTGTATTTATGAGCTGGAAGCATCCTTCCAAATTATAGATTTTGTGTTAGCATCAGTTTAACAGTCTGGAGACAGTGAAGGTAGCAGGAGAGAGATAGTGATTGTAATGATGGTGAAGATGATTTTGATGAACCGCATTTTGGACATTTAACTATTTCTCATTTTTCACTTACAAATAACTTTGTAATACATATCCTTGTTCATAAGGATATTCTTCTATATTTGAATCTATATTTTGAAGAGAGTTAAAAGAAGTACCAGTTCAAAAGGATGAAAATTTTAAGAATTGAGAATATGTGCTTTACAGAATAATTTTACATATATATATAATCATTTTATTGGGGGCTTGTACAACTCTTATCACAATCCATACATACATCCATTGTGTCAAGCACATATGTACATTTGTTGCCATCATCATTCTCAAACATTTGCTTTCTAATTGAGCCCTTGGCTTCAGCTCCTCATTTTCCCCTCCCTCCCTGCTCTCCCCTCCCTCATGAACCCTTGATGATTTATAAATTACTATTATTTTGTCATATCTTACACTGTCCGATAACCAATTTATATTTTTATCAGTAATTTGAAAAGAACTCTGTCATCACTCCTAGACCAACACTGACTTAATACTTTTAAAAGATAACTGATCATTTCTTGGGCAAATGGTATTTGTTTTTAAAAGTCTATAATATATAAAATGGAAGGAAAATAGAAGAATACTTTTCAATTAGGCATTTAATGCCAACACCTAGTATTACAGTTTATGCAGTAGAACTCTGGTACTCAACATAATTAGATTTCAACACAAAATGTTGAGAACATTTTGCATCAAGGCACCCAATGCACGTGATTTTTATAAACTGTTTTATATAAAAAGCAGCTTGTGTTCCGGACACCTAGTGTTAGTTGGCGTTGTTAGTACACATTGTTTAAACCTTTGGCGACTGTGTTCCAAGTGTTTTTGCTATAATGTTCTTAGTTTTTGTACTGTTTTTAGATAAAAAACATGGGTATTAAGAGTTTGTTTTTTTTTTTAAAGAATCATGATAAGGAACTGGTTAACCATGTTATCGATATTGTTGTTGATAATTAGTAAACCCTTTTAGAAAACAGTTCAGGAAACGCCAACAGCAGACCACATAAGACAGATTAAAAAAAAAATTTTTTTTTGGGAGAAAGACAGCCAGGTCCTAGTGAAAAAAGGCACAGAAGGGAAAAGACTCCGGAAAAGCAGCAAGCTATTGCTTTTATAGAAGGGATCCCCTTCCAAACAATGATTCTCTCCATACCCCTCTTCACTTCCATGTCCACAGATCCAGATCCTCACCCACCTCAAGGTATGGGCCATACTGTAGTTGTTAAAGACTTTTTAAATGTTGTGTTATTTAAATTATATTATTTAATGCTGAAGTTATTTACTTTGGAATTTCTGTGTAATGTTTTATATAAAAAGGCAAGGTTAGGGTAAAAACTTGGTGGTCGAGAACAGATTAATCTGTTCTCAGTTATTTCTTACAGGAAAAATTGATTCGGGACTCTATTGCACCGCATTTCGACACTACCTTCTAGAATGGATTAGCATCGAGGTCCAGGGTTCTCTACTGTATGACTTCAATCAAAGACACATAAAAGTTAAGATGAAAGAATAAAAAGTGTTAACACTTTAAATATTTTATTTCTCAAATATAAAGTCTTGCACACTGATGACAACTGACAAAAGCTTCAAATGAGATAGTGAACTGTACTGGAATTCCTGTCTTTCTAGTTGTGAGAGGTCAACATGGACCTGAACCATTCAAGACAAACTCTAGACAAGAAGACAGTCTCAGAGTTTGTATTTTATAGAGCAATGTTTTAAAGCTTAAGTCTGATGTACCTATCAGAGTAGATCTAATACTGATATTTTATCAGTTTAAAAGAAAAGTAAAATTAATAGATTGGATGATAGACAAGTACACTGCATATAATATGGACATGTTGTCCTTCATAAAACTCTGATTTTACTTACAGAGAGGCAGTCTCATCTCATCTAGTGGTTAAGATATGGAGCCAGAGTACCTGGCTCAGCTAATTATAAGCTTTGTTACCTGGGGCAAGTCACTTAATTCTTTCATTTTCTTGATTGCAAAAGCAAAATAATTTTATATAACACAGAGAGTTATGAGAATTACATGAGTACTATTTTCAAAAGCTCAGAACAGTGTCTGGTGTTTGGTAAGCACTACATGAGTTTCACTCTTCTTCATCTCTAAGCACTGACACAGCCTTGATGGCAGTGAATTGATACGAGTGTGTAATGAAAAGGAAAGTCAAGAGGGACCTGACTACTACCCAGAAAGAAGATCTGGGAGCAGAGGAAGTCCTTTGGACCAAGTGTGTCCCTGTGCTATGAACCTCCTAGACTCAGAGGGAGAAAAGACACATGGACAAGTCCAAGGAACAAGCCTAGAGATGCTGAAAGGACACAAGGACCTTCCCTAAGGAAATGACGTAGAGAGAAAATCTTCCCCTAGAGATAGCAAACTGAAATTTGAACTTATAAACTATGAGAGAGTAAATTTGTTTGTTAAAGCCTAAGAAAAATAAAAATGGATGGAACTCTAACATATGTACTGTAGTTAAAAAAAAAATTAGACAGCCATTGCCTTAGAGGTCAAGTTAGTAAGAAATATCTGGACTGGGTATTACTTGGGGGTGAGTCACATGGCCTTTAACATAGTGCAACGTGAGCTTCAGGAGATGGAAAGCATAAAACTAAAAGCTTTTCATATGGAAATTTTTATCACAGGAATGTAACACACGTCAGAGTTAAAATAATCTTTAAAACCAGGCTACTTGAAAGATGTACAATAATTTACAAAGTAAAAAATACTTCTAGTACCTTCCCCATCAAAATCATGCTATTCCTAAAGAACCGCAAAGTCTAATTTTCTCTAAAGTAAAGCATCAACAAAACGTACTCTGACACTACATCAACTCCCATCTTCGTCATATAATATGTTCTTTTATATTGCCTAAATTCAGTTTCAAATAGGTCGTCATCTTCAGCTTCATCTTCCAAATTACCTGGGGAAAAATATAGAAAGATGGTGACAATTATGACAATTATTTTATTTTTTATTCAAAGGCTGTGTGATAAATGACTATCAAAGTGGGTGATAATAAGAAGCCACTTTAGAAACTTGCTCCATCTAACATGACCAAATTAGTAGAAGTAAAAGGAAGACATAAGAAGTATCCTGCCACAAAAATAACACCCCCAAGTGTAATCTGTACTCACTCTTAGATGCTGTCACTTCAGATTCATTTTTGTCCAAAGCAGCCCAACAGACGGAATTTTCCTGGAAGTATAAAAATTTTAAATCAATACAAAATTAATGGGAAGATACTTCAAGAGAGATATTTAACAGGGAGATTTAAAAAATACTAAAAATAATTGAAATTGTAAAATTTTATTTTTAAAGTAATTCTCAGATAATATATAAATATTGGCTTTAGATAACTTTTTAAAAAGAGATATATTTATATAATATATAGATGTCTCAAACATACAATAATTAAATCTTACAACTAAAAAAGAGAATTACATGACTTTCAAAAGAAAAATCTTTAGAAATAGTACATTACTTAGAGAAAAGTATAGTCAATATTAAATTATTTTATCATATACCAGTATTAAAATTTTATGTTTGATAGTAAAAAAGAAAAAACACTGCAAGCTCAGTGCCATTGAATCAATACTGACGAAGGGTCAGAGTAGAACTACCCCGTGGTTGCTGAGGCTGTAACTCTTTAGAAATCCTCATTTCTCTCCCTATTAGAGCTTAGGATACTGTCAGCAGAATCTATTTAAGGTTGAATTCAATGGTTACAAATATTACCATGATTCTTAGGACCATTTACTACGCTCCACTCTTTAGTTCTCATACATACCACCCATTTGATTTTCTATAGTTCTTTGATCATCACAACCCTTCACATTCATTCTGTCTCAGTTTTTCTCTCTTCTCTTCTATTTTTTAACTGTCTACTGTAGTGACTCTCATTAAATTCCTATAACTTCATTGATTTCCAGATCATTTTTTTCAACCAATCCAAAGCCTCATTCAACTTCCTGTGCCTGGCCTGTTCCTCCAGTCCCTCTCGTTTCACCAGTGTCTCCAGTGTTAAATACATATGCCAGAAGACTAGTGAATCTCAAACTAAGATGAAATGGGAGGAGCCAGAGATTACTAACAAGTATGCTTATTGAGTACAGGCTTCCCTAAATTATACAGGCTAGTTTCTTGTTTCCTTTCTTATTTCTTCTTTTTGCCACAATTTATTTTAAGTACACAAATAACAATGAGTACAAGAAGAAAATGGTCTAAATTGATTGTGGTAATGATTGTACAACTCTTGATAAGATTGAACTATTGTTTTATTATAAATCATTTTAGTGGGGGCTTGTACAACTCTTAACACAATCCATACATCACCCATTGTGTCAAGCACATTTGTACATACGTTGCCATCAACCTGGGGAATAGCTCCTCATTTTCCCCTCCCTCCTTCCCTCCCCCTCCCTCTCTCATGAATCCTTGATAATGTATAAATTATTTTTTTTTCATGTCTTGCACTATCCGATGTCTCCCTTAACCCACTTGTCTGTTGTCCATCCCCCTGGGAGGGGGTTATAGGTAGGTCATTGTAATCAGTTCCCCTTTTCTTCCCCTACCTTCCGCTCACACTCCTGCTATGGCTCTTCTCAATATTGGTCCTGAGGAGTTTATCTGTCCTGTATTTCCACCTCTTACCTGTACCCACGTACATGCTCTGTTCTAGCCAGATTTGTAAAGTAGAATTAGGGTCATGATAGTGTGGGAAGGAAGCATTAAAGAACCAGAGGGAAAACGTATGTTTCATCAGTGCTATCCTGCACCCTGATTGGCCCATCTTCTCCCCATGACCCTTCTATAAGGGGATGTCCAATTGTCTACAGATTGGCTTTGGGCTTCCACTCTGAACTCCCCCCCCCCCCATTCACATTATGATTTTTTGCTCTGGGTCTTTGATGCCTGATAGCTGATCCCATCGAAACCTCATGATGACACAGGCTGGTGTGCTTTTTCCATGTGGGCTTTGTTGCTTCTCGGATAGATGGGCTATTGTTTATCTTCAAGCCTTTAAGACCCCAGGCATTATATATTTTAATAGCGGGACACAATCAGCTTTTTTCACATTTGCTTATGTACCCACTTTGTCTTCAGCTATCATGTAGGGAAGATGAGCATCATAGAATGTCAGTTTAATAGAACAAAGTGTTCTTGCAATGAAGGAGTACTTGATGGGAGGACAAATGTCCATCTGCTACCTTACTATACCTATAAATATATGAACATAGATCTATTTCCCCATCCTCATATATAATATATTTACATGCCTGTATTTAGACCTCTATATTTATATTTAGACCATTTTTCCTCCAAGTTCCTTCCTCTATTGCCTTTGTTTTCCTCTTGTCCCACTATCATGCTCAGCCTTCATTTGGGTTTCCATAATTCCTCTTGGTTACATTGCCCTTGATCAAGCCCTACCAAACCTCCTATACATTTTCGGTCACTTGTTCCCTTTTTTCTGGATTTGTTAGCACCCACTTCCTTTCCCCTGCCTCCCCCTCGCCCATGTCCCCCTAGAACTGTCATCCCGTTGTCTTCTCCTCCGGCTTGTTTATCCTGCCTATCTTATCTAGATAGACATACAGAGATAATAATATGCACAAACACAAGACGGAGCAAAAGAAAGCAACAATAGAAAATAAAACAATAGCTCCAACAGCAACAACAAAAGTCAAGGAAAAAAAAGAAAAGCCTATAAATAGGTAGCTAACGTAGAGACTGGGGTATCCATTACGAATGCTCAGAGGTTCAAGCTTCTGGCCAGGAAAAGGTGGTATACCTAGGTGGGCATTACACCTGGATTGGCCCATCTAAGCCAGGTGAATTTGATTCAGCCAATGGGGTTGACCAGTATTGTCGACTATGACTCCCAACGGGGCCCCTGAAAAGACCAGAGGTTTTACTCTGGCGCTCTCTCTCCCACAATGTAGCACAGCTGGTTGTGGTCCAGAGCAGCCAGGCTGCAGTCCCGCAACTGTGCTGCGGACTCTGTCTGGCTTGTGTTCCATTTACTGTAGAACCTGAAACTGCTACTATTCTCTATAACCCCACTTAGATCACAACCAGGCTTTGACGTGAATTCTTTCTCATGCAGAGCCAAGCCAAGCACAAACCAGGCTTTGACATGAATTCTTTCTCATGCAGAGCCAAGGACTGAGGTATATCTCTCACCCAAGAGATCTAACATAATTTGGTGCCGTGACACAGATATATATATAAGGTAAGCCGGCTCCAGTTACTTTCCTGGAATGGGCCCTCACATCCTGATCTTAGGGGTTTCAGGCACCGTTTGGACTCTTTTCCACTTCTCCACCCTTGGGAGAAGGCACATAGCTGGAAAGGAAGCCAGGCTGAACTCCTCCCGTAACAATGTGGAGTCGGATGGCTCCCCGAACTGACTCATGGGCACACTCGTAATGTGTTACCGCAGCCCCATCCTTTTGTGTCCATCTTTACGCCTATTCTTACTGGTATATGGGACTTTACGTCTGCCTTTCTGTGCCTGCCTTCCTGGGAACTTGCATGCCTTCCCCAGTCTGGATTTCTGGGAGGGGGTTGGGATGCTGTTGCCTGCAGGGTGGGAGAATTTTGATTCCAAAAGCCTTTTCAAGTCTCAGTGGTATGCTTTGTGTTTCAGCCAGCTAGATGGCTGGGTGTGCCCATGTAAACCCTGTTGGTTTCTGCAGGATTCTGGCTCTGGTGGCTGGCCCCATGCTGATTTTTGGCTAGGCTGCAAGCTGAGGCTGCCATTTTCCCAATCACATGACTCTCCTTTCCCTGGCAGAATCCCTTTTTAAAAAAACAAAACACTTTTATTGGCACTTCATTCATATACAATTCAATAGTTAAACCACATCAATAAGTATTGTACAATCTTTATCACATTCAATTTTAGAACCTTTTCTTTTTCTCTGTACTCATCGTTATTCATGTAATTTTTTCAATGTTGGCAAAAATATACATTACAAAACACTCACCCAATTAAGTTCCACATGTATAATTCAGTGCCATTAATTATATTCTTTGTGCTGTATAACCATTATTGTTATTCCTCCCCAAATTGTTCTATCACCATTAAAATGAACTTAATTCTTCCCTCCCCCCACCGTAAAGCAAAATCTCTTCCTCCTTCACCCATGGTAACTATAGGGTAAGTCAAGTTGGGTTTCTTTTTTTGAAGTGTTATTGATATAATTTTCACATGGCATACACTTCCAGAGCTAAACCACTTCAAGAAAGAGTTGTATACACATCATCAAAATCAGCTCTAATGCTCCCTTTCTCCCTCCTGCACCTACTGATCACTCCCCAATTCCATCTTCCCCTCCTTCCTGATAAACCATTGCATCAGTTCTTGTCTCTGCTCCTTCTGTGCATCCAAAACTTGGAGAGTTAACAGAAACAATTGGGAAAAAAAAGCAAAACAAAACAGAAAGAAGAAGCTGAAATCTCATGATGACACCTGGCAGAATCACCTGCCTAGTCCTCAGCCTCAGCCAGCAACAGGTTTTACCAATTTGAGTTTGACAGAGTCTTTGAAAGACTATTCAAAGACCACACAATATTAAGTCAGCTAACCAAGTCTTCCACATGACACCCGGCTTGTACAGTAAGACATTGTTATACTTCAACCCCCTAGGCTACTTAGGTAGCCCACAGAAATAGATCCCATCCCCAAACCCCTCCTGGGTCACTTCCACCATCCCCATCCCCTCTGATAGAACAGAAGAATATTCTCTCAAGATAACTAACTCAATCACAAGAATACAGCTCTCACAGCCATACCAGACACCAAATTATCCTCCTCGCCTGAGTCTCACTCCCTCATTGACACCCTACAAGACCACAAGGCAGTAAAACATCATACCATCAAACACTGTCCTTACATAATACATAGGGTCGATAAGGTACCCTGGTGGATTCACTATTTATGCTCCTTTACCTCAACAACAATAAGCTCTGGAATCTGTTCCCTTCAAGTCAGCAACACACACCACCTTTAAACTCACCAAGTAAAATGTCAGCTTTCTAGGGAGAGAGCCAGTCCGCAGGGAGACAGAGATGCAACTTGTACTCATGGCACAGCTAGCTCCGGATAGTTGTTAGACCTATTTGCATTAGCTTCTGAGAGAGAAAACAGGGCTCCTTTCCCTGCCACAGGTATTGGGACTTATTACATCAGG